AGTCTGAATCAGGAATAAATAGAAAATCTGAATGGACCAATTACTAACAATGAAATTGAATCTATAATCAAAACTTTCCCAACAAACAAAAGTCCTGGACCAGACAGCTTCAGAGGTGAATTTTACTGAACATTCAAAGAATTAACACCTACCTTTATCAAACTATTCCAAAATATTAAAGAGAGGAAAGCTCCCAAACTCATTCAAGGCCAGCAGTACCCTTATACTAAAACCAGACAAAGACACAACAAAAAAAAGAAAATTATAGGCCATTATCCCTGATGAACATAGATGTAAAAATCCTTAACAAAATATTAGCAAGTCAAATTCAGCAATACATTAAAAAGATCATACACCATGATTAAGTGGGATTTATTTACAAGGATGCAAGGTTGGATCAATATCCACAAATCAATTAACATGACATACCACATGCACAAAATAAAGAATAAAAATCATATAATCAAAGACAAAATGAAAGAGAAAAATCATATAATCATATCAATAGATACAGAAAAAGCATTTGACAAAATCCAACACCAATATATATATATATATATATATATATATATATATATATATATACACACACACACACACACACACACACATATACATACATAAAAGGCTAAAATGCAAAGTGTCCCCTCGGGAGTTCAACTGGGAGACCGCGAGTTCAATTGCTCACTATGACGTGCACTGACCACCAAGGCGGAACTAAGGAAGGCCCCGGCTAGCAGCTGGAAGGCCCCAATTGGCCCTGATCTCCAGTGAGGCCCATGAATCCTACCCATGCACAATTTCGTGCACTGGGCCTCTAGTTTATGATAAAAACTTTCAGCATAGTGGAGATAAAGGGAATATACCTGATTATAAAGACTGTATATGAGAAACCCACAACTGACATCACACTCAATGATGAAAAGATTAAAGCTTTTTCTCCAAGATCAGGAATAAGACAAGGATACACAGCAATCTGACATGATAAAGAAATAAAAGGCATCCAAATTGGAAAGTAAGTAAAACTATCACTATTTGCTCATGATATGATATATATAGAAAACCCTGAAAATTCCACCAAAAACTATTAGAATTAATAAATGAATTCAGTAAAGTTTCAGAAAAAATTGTCAGAAATCTATTACAATTTTATGTACTAATACTGAACTATCAGAAAGAGAAGACAATAATCTAATTTACAATTGGATCAAAAAGAAATGAAAAACTTAACCAAGAAGATAAAAGACCTATACTATGAAAACTATACCCTTTTTTTTTAATTAAATCTTTATTGTTCAGATTATTACATTTGTTCCTCTTTTTTCCCCCCCCATAACTCCCCTCTTCCCAGTTCCCGCCCCACCCTCCGCCCTCACTCCCCACCCACTGTCCTCATCCATAGGTGCACGATTTTTGTCCAGTCTCTTCCCGCATCTCCCACACCCCTTTACCCCGCAAGAATAGTCAGTCCATTCCCTTTCTATGTCCCTGATTCTATTATAATCACCAGTTCATTCTGTTCATCAGATTATTTATTCACTTGATTCTTAGATTCACTTGTTGATAGATGCATATTTGTTGTTCATAATTTGTATCTTTACCTTTTTCTTCCTCTTCCTCTTCTTAAAGGATACCTTTCAGCATTTCATATAATCCTGGTTTGGTGGTGATGAACTCCTTTAGCTTTTCCTTATCTGTGAAGCTCTTTATCTGACCCTCAATTCTGAATGATAGCTTTGCTGGATAAAGTAATCTTGGTTGTAGGTTCTTGGTATTCATCACTTTGAATATTTCTTGCCACTCCCTTCTGGCCTGCAAAGTTTCTGTTGAGAAATCAGCTGACAGTCGTATGGGTATTCCCTTGTAGGTAACTGAGTTTCTTTCTCTTGCTGTTTTTAAGATTCTCTCTTTATCTTTTGCTCTTGGCATTTTAATTATGATGTGTCTTGGTGTGGTCCTCTTTGGATTCCTTTTGTTTGGGGTTCTCCGCGCTTCTTGGACCTGTAAGTCCATTTCTTTCACCAGATGGGGGAAGTTATCTGTCATTATTTCTTCAAATAGGTTTTCAATATCTTGCTCTCTCTCATCTTCTGGCACCCCTATAATTCTGATGTTGGTACGCTTGAAGCTGTCCCAGAGGCTCCTTACACTATCCTCGCATTTTTGGATTCTTTTTTCATTTTGCTTTTCCAGTTGGGTGTTTTTTGCTTCCTCGCATTTCAAATCATTGACTTGATTCTTGCGCTCCTCTGGTCTGCTGTCGGGAGTCTGTATAATATTCGTTATTTCAGTCCGTGTATGCTTAATTTCTACTTGGTTCCCCAATATAACATCGAGGGTCTCATTAGTTTTCTTGTAGATCTCATTAAGTTTATTGGCGGCTTCTAAACAGTTCTTGAGAGATCTTAAAAGTGTGGTTCTGAACTCTATATCTTTCATTGACAATTTTGTCCTGTTTCTTTGTCTCCGCATTTTGTTATGCTTCCTTGGTGCACCCCCTAGTGGTCTTTGTGCACAGTCTTATAGTTAAACCTTGATTGTTGTAGCTAATACCAGGGAGGGTTTGACCTCCAGGCCAAGTGGCTATCTGAAAACTATAATACACTGGTAAATGGAAGGATATACTGTGCTTGTGGACTGAAAGAATATTGTTTCAATGTCCATGTTACCCAAAGCAAGATTACATGCAATCTCTATCAAAATACCAGTAGCACCTGGCCAGTGTGGCGTAACTGAGCATCCACCTATGAACCCTAAGGTCAATTGGATTCCTGGTCAGGGTACATGCCTTGGTTGCGGGCTCAATCCCCATTAGGGGACATGCAGGAGGCAGCCGATCAATGATTCTCTCTCATCGTTATGTTTCTCTCTCTCTCTCTCCCTCTCCCTTTCTCTCTGAAATCAATAAAAACATATTTTTAAAAATTACCAATGTCATTTTTCACAAAAGTAGAACAAATAATCCTAAAAATTTTTTGGAATCACAAAACACCCTGAATAGGCAAAATAATATTGAGAAAGAAGAAAAAAGTTGGAGGTATCACACTACTTTATTTCAAACTATACTACAAGGATATAGTAATCAAAACAATACAGTATTGGTACAAAAACAGACATGTAGATCAAAGGAGAATAGAGACCCCAGGAATAAACCCATGCTTATATGCCCAGTTAGTGTATGACAACGGAGGCAAGAATATACAAGGAGGTAAAATAGTCTCTTCTTCAATAAATGATGCTAGGAAAACAGAATAGATACATGCAAAAAATGAAATTAGACCATTTTCTTACACCATATACAAAAATAAACTCAAGATGGATTAGTCTTGTATGTAAGACCTGGAATTATACAACTCCTAGAAGAGAAAATGAGTAATGGACTCTTTGACGTTGATTTTAGTGTATGTCATCTAGGGCAATGATAAAACAAAATATAAGTAAATGAACTACATCAAACTAAAAAGCCTTTGCACAGTAAGGGAAACCATCAATGAAACAAAAAGGCAACCTACTGAATGTGAAAATACATTTGCAAATGATATATCTGATAAAGGGTTAATATGCAAAATATATAAAGAACTCATACAACTCAACGTCAAAAGCCAAACAATCCAATTTAAAAATGGGCAGAGGACCTGAACAGGCATTTCTCCAAAGAGAACATACAGATAGCAAACAGACACAAGCAAAGATGCTCAATATCACTAATCATCAGGGAAATGCAAACCAAAACCACAGTGAGATATTACCTCACACCTCTCCGAATGGCTAATATCAGTAAATCAACAAACAAGTGTGGGTGAGGATGTGGAGAAAAGGGACTCTTCCGGCACTGTTGGTGAGAATGTAAACTGGTGCAGCCACTATGGAAAACATATGGAGAGTTTTCAAAAAATGAAACATAGAGCTACCATATGACCCAGCAATCCCATTTCTGGGTATTTATCCAAATAAATTGAAAACAGTACTTTGAAAAGATAAATGCACCCTTATGTTCATTTCAGCATTATTTATAATAGCCAAGATATGGAAGTAGACTAGGCGTCTAACGATAGATGAATAAATAAAGAAGAGGTGGTGAAACAACATGGATGGACCCAGAGGGTATTATGTCAAGTGAAATAAGTCAGACAGAGAAAGATAAGTAATGTCTGACTTTACTTATGTGGAATCTAAAATACAAAATACACAAACCAAAAAAAGAGAAAAGAAACAAATTCATAGATACTGAGAACAAACTGATGGTTGCCAGGTGGGAAGGTGGTGAAGGGAAGGGTGAAAAATGTGAAGGGGATTATGAAATACAAGCTGCCAGTTATAAAATTAGTCACAGTATGTAAAGTACAGAATAGGCAATACAGTCAGTAATACTATTATAACTATGTACGGTGCTGGGTAGATACTAGTCCAGTGATGGCGAACCTTTTGAGCTCGGCGTGTCAGCATTTTGAAAAATCCTAACTTAACTCTGGTGCCGTGTCACACATAGAAATTTTTTGATATTTGCAACCATAGTAAAACAAAGACTTATATTTTTGATATTTATTTTATATATTTAAATGCCATTTAACAAAGAAAAATCAACCAAAAAAATGAGTTCGCGTGTCACCTGTGACACGCATGTCATAGGTTCGCCATCACTGTACTAGTCTTATCTCGTGGTGATCACTTCAAGGTATACAAATGTCTCATCACGATCTTGTATGCCTGAAATTAATATACACTGTATGTTAACTATAATTTTTAAAATTTAAGACAAAAGTTATTCATGCTGATGTTATATATAATGTATATGTATGTGTATATATATGTACGTATATATTTGGGGGGATACAATTAATAGGGAGTGGTCAGGTGTTTAAAAAAAGTCACTGTTTCCATAGGACACTTACACAATCTTAAATCAATCAGCTTTCATCTCATAGGAGGAGAAATCTAATCAGCCTTATTTCCTCATGCAAGTGCTACCTATAAACAGCATCATCTTGTCAGACACCTACCTTGCTTGTCTGATTCGGTTTGATCCCAGGCCCTCGAACCAACAGTGGAACTTTGATATCAAACTCATACAGCTGCCTTTTGTCTATTGGCAAAGAAAACTGTCCTGAAAAGAAAATGCAAAGGGTAAAGATGGAGTCCAGATGGAAGTGTCACGCATATTCATTCATTTAGTCAACAAAAACAAAACAACTTTGTTCCTCTAATTATGGTGCTTTAATAGGAGGTTTAAATTTGCCTGGGTCTCATTACTACAAGGCAGGAAACAATGAGTTCATCTTCCTTAAATAAATGCCTAGGGGGACTCCCTGATCTAAGATAGGACAAATTCAGAAAAAAGAGTGACTGGGAAGTACTGAAACACAAATGCATAATTTATGTCTGATACTCAACCTGATCACAACTGAATGAGATTATTCTGCTAAAGGAACAAAAACATTTATCTGGCCTTTCCTGAATAAACTGCATTTCAAAATAACTGAACAGTTGAGGGAAAGTTCTTCCCTGAGGAATTCCAGCTAATAAATGCAAAAGGAAGAAGAGAGTTATAAAGTCAACATTTTACAATTTCTGAAGGAAAAATGAATTTAACCATCAATGGAAGTTTAACCACAAAAGGTTCATAGGACAGGCTGACACCACATGGGCCATCAATCAATACTAACATCCCTAAAGTGGGGCAACCAGACTCCGAGGCATCATGATGTGATGCAACAGGAAATACACAGCATCACCAAGAAAGCATGCTTGCTGAAAATGTGAATTTCTATTAGGACTCTAGATCTGACTACCAATCTATAGGAAATGCTAAGTACAGTGGGGCCTTGACTTCCGAGTGTCCCGACTAAGGAGTTTTTTGAGATACCAGCTGTCTCTCAGCCGCTTTTTTGCATTGAGTTGATAGAGTAATTTGAGTTAACGAGCTCCTTAACGAGCTCGGTCTCCTCCCGGAGACCGAATGAGTTAAACTCGAAAGTCAAGGCCCCACTGTATAAATAAACAAGATAAAAGCCAGGATGTCAGATATTCTAAATGGACAAAAGACCAGTTTTTCCAATCAATCAGTGGCAACGACAGCTTTTAGGACACACAAAAGCTAAAGGTAGCATGCAGACTTTGTCTAGATCCTGATACATAATAAACTAGTCAGATGCACAATTAAGTGTTGATGTGTGGAATCACAATTTCCAGAGATTCTACAAAACCTTCCAGCTAAAAAAAAAACATACCAGGGTAGGGTAGGAAGAATTCAAAAGACTGGTCACATGCAACTGAAAACTGAACCTGGATAATGGGGGCTATTTTATTAGTCTCTACTTCAAGTGCTTAAAAATATTCACAATAGCCCTGACCGGTTTGGCTCAGTGGACAGAGCGTCGGCCTGCAGACTGAAGGGTCCCAGGTTCGATTCCAGTCAAGGGCATGTACCTTGGTTGTGGGCACATCCCCATTAGGGGGTGTGCAGGAGGCAGCTGATCAGTATTTCTCTCTTATCGATGTTTCTAACTCTCTATCCCTCTCCCTTCCTCTCTGTAAAAAATCAATAAAATATATTTTAAAAATATTCACAATAATAGATTAAACGCCCAATCTGTTCTATGCAAGCAAGCCTCAGGTTAATTCCACTCAAGTTTATAAAATTTATAGGTGGGGAAAGAAGAAAATATTGGTTTTTAACCTGCAAAAGGTTCAAGTAGAAAGGATGAAAGTCAAAAACAGGGGGCTTATTCATCCTGCAGTTTTAAAAAGACAAAACACACACGCACACACACACAAAACCTCACACTCACACACACAAAACTAATTTCACAATTTCGCATGAAAGACTCCCCCCACCCAATACAATCTTCTCTTGATCTTCTAATGTAAAATGTCTTACCCTTATTTTCTAAAGTCTACTTGTTCTTGAAATCCTGTTCAACTTCTTACCTCCTTCATAAATCCTGCCTCCAACCCATCAAGCTCACTCTCCCGACTCCTGGAATATCACGTAATATAACATATGACACAGCAAATAATGAAACCGGTCTCTCCATGTGGCAATGAGTGGGCCCTCTGACCAGAGGGGACCTGAGGGCAAGACCTTCCCTCTGGCCTCTAAACTGCTCTATAGGGACCAGAGCTCCCTGCCAGTGATCCTGGTTGGGTGAAAATGGAAAGGCACCTCCCAAAGGTCTCCGGAACACCTAACCATGCCCCTTACCTGTGTGGTATCCATTGTCAGAAGTATAAAAGATGTAAGTGTTGTCGAGCTCCCCGATGAACTCCAATCTCTTGACCAGTTTCTCCACAAGGTCATCAACTGAGAGTAGAGTTTGCCACCTGGATGTAAACAGAGGATGTCAGTAGAACCTCAAAGAAAACGGCTCAGGGACACCTGCAAAACCTCAAAACCATTCTCCCCAAAATGGAAGAAATTTCCAAATTTCCTTTCCTCAAATGCCTCATTGCAAAAAAAAAAAAAAAAAGATTAGAAAATTTTAGAATAGTTACCTCAGTCTAAATTGAACTGTTTCCAAAGAAATGAATGAGGCTTTTTATAACTAGTTTTATTACTTATTATCACTGTTGATGAGAGTAGAGATGAGGGCAAGTTGTCAACTCAGCACTGATTAATACAGATTAATTCACATAGACCTGTGCCCCAACAGTGTTTGTGATCTAAACTAGGGGCTGGCAAACTGCAGCCATGCGCCAAAGTTTGCCCACTGTCTGTTGTTTGCTTTTAAATTGTGGTAAAAAACACATAATATAAAATTTACCATCTTAGTATTTAAGTGTACAGGTCAGTAGTATTAAATATATTCACATAGTGAGACGGATTTCCAGAACTTTTTCAGTTTATAAATCTGAAAGGACCCATTAAACAACTTACTCTCTCTTTTTTATATACACATAAAGTTTTATTAGAACACAACCATGCTCATTCATTCACGTACTGTCTTGAGCTGCTTTTTCACTCCAACAGCAGAGCTGAGCAGCTGCAACAAAGATCATATGGCCTGCATGCCTATAGTATTTACTATCTGGCCCTTTACAGAAAAAGTTTGCCAACCCTTGGTAATAAGTAATAGATTACAACTTAAGTAATGAATTTTTTGAAAAATTAAAGAATTTCTTGAAAATCACAAACAGCAAAGGTAAATAATTTGCTCTAGTCTAAGCCTTTGGGTTTTATGCAAATATTGGGAGACTTGTCACTAACAAACTGACCTTTTCCTTAGATACAGGAAACTTTTTAAAAAATATATTTTTTAATTGATTTTAGAGAAGGGAGGAGAGAGAGAAACATCAATGATGAGACAGAATCATTGATCGGCTGCCTCCTGCACAGCCTCTACTGGGGATTGAGCCCCAAACCAGGGCATGTGCCCTGATTGGGAATTGAACCCTGATCTCCTGATTCATAGGTCAACGCTCAACCACTGAGCCACATCGGCTGGGTGGAAACTTAAAAAAAAAAAAGTCAAATGGTTCCAGTTTGCAATGTTTTAACAAGTCATAAAAACAGATTGTTTAATTAGTCTGAGGGTCCAAAGGCCACCTCACACACCCAAATGTAAAGGAATCTGTGCTTCTGAGGCAACAGATGCCCTCCCCACGAAGCAAAGTCTCTCCCATCAACTTGTTACCCTCCAATTTTTTATCAAATATAACCACATGGTACAGTCCCCTGTTCATAGGCTGATTTGGAGGGTCCTCTAAGACCTCCCAGGTTGAGAAAGTAGCAGCTCTTACCTTTTCCTAAACGCATTATCTAAAAACTGTATCGAAGAATTAGTCATTGGAGTCTTGGCTTGCCTAATTAACCAGTGCTTGTTCTAAAATTTAAAAGAAAAAAAATGTTAACACCAAGTCACCCAGTCAAATAAACTACTACAGTAGATAATTAAATTTATAACTCTGAGTATATGCTTTGGGTCTCCTACCCAAACTACAAAAGGGTAAATATTAACTTTACCTTCCTCTTAGTTTTGCTTATATGTCAACATTTTATTGTCTTCTATTTTCTTACCCAAGATATCCATCATCCTAAACTGTTGGGAAAATCCCAAAATAGGAATTTCCTAAAACTTCAAGTCCAAATTTGGAGGGTTCTTCTCATTTTAATAAAAAAGTCAGTTAAAAAAAACACACACACACACAAAACATTCACACACACCATTAATTTTCTCCTTCCTCCCTAGTCTTGAAACCCTAAGCTATCTCCCAAACTATGATCCTCAGAGTGTTCTTTAGTTAATATGTTTGAGAGATGCTATATAGCATGTCCTCTGACTGGAAATTCATGTTAGAACATGAATAACTCTGAGGAATCCTATAGCAGAGTGACTTACTTAACCTAAAGTTTCTGCACTTACTTGGTCATGGGAACTGCTATCAATTTTTTTGGAACACAGTTTGAGAATGGCTCTCTAGTTTAAAACTTAGCTCAGTTAGCTTTCAAATCATACTAAACAAGCACATGCTTGCAATATTCCAGGTGATACCACAGATGTTTCTATGTACTTTACTCCAGCAGTCACCAACCAGTGGTCTGTAGACCACTGTTGGTCCGTGAGGTGCGAAAGATTGGCGACCACTGCTTTAGTCCATATAGCAGTTGCATGAGCAACGGAAGTTAGCATCTTGCTCACTGTTGGGTCACTAAGCTATAAGGTGGTAGTGCTGAGTCTAACTCTAAGATTCATTCTTTCCACCACCTCCCAAGCAATGAAGATTTCTGGGAAATAGGCATGGGCAGTAGAGGCATTCTGCATTTGAACTAGTCAATCCCCTGTGCCAAGGGAAGGATAAGAAACTGACACATGAAGCAAATATTTAGGTTGTGGCCCTTAATTATATTCCCTGCCCTGGCTCATTTCTCCATTTTATTTCCCTACCCATCATATCACATTGTGTCACCCCTCTTCTTCCTATGCGTGAGGGCCACCAAAGGAGGCTGCTGCAGGCCCAACTCAGCCTCAAGGAACACGTGTCAGCCACTGCCAGGCAAAAGAGAGCCAGCAAAGAGGTTATCAGGAAAGCCTGTAGTCAAGGAAGATGGCATCCTTTAATATTCCCTGTGGACTCTCTAGCTGCTCACAGGATGTGTGGCAGGAATGTGTATTTCTGAAGCAAGTTTATACTACCTATCTTATTAGGGACAGCTATAATTACCTTGAAACGTCTGGAAAGAAAACCAACTACATGGCTGAAAGGCTTCCTAACAAGTATATTAAATAGTTAACTATATTGAGTATGGCTTAATTCTAGGATTAGGGACACTACCGTTCCATGGATGTTGAAGTTCTTGTTCCTTGGTGCAAAGACATTCTGAAAGGTCTTCTGGTACTGGGGTGCGGCTATCCAAGGCGAGTGAGGCGCTGGAGTGGAGATCATCATGAAGAATGGTTCAAAGTTGGACTTGTAGTCCAAGAAGTCCAAGGAGACATTAGCCTGACGTACACAAAGATTTGTCATTTCCTATCCCTACCCAACAGTTGCAGACTTGATAGATATAGATACATGTTCTCTGGTAAACAGAAGGGTATTATTAGTTTTTAACAAATCTCAGCACACAACCTGTGTCATAGTCAAATGACCAGCGTGCTGTTGGAACCAATATTTGGCTTTTAGGCAATACTTATAATAAAAAATTGAAGAGGACACTATCCTAAGGGGCAGTTAGGTTTTGATGATTTTACATGACCAAAAAAGTATTATGGCCCGGCCAGCATGGCTCAGTGTTTGAATGTCAACTTATGAACCAGGAGGTCACAGTTAAGATTCCTGGTCAGGGTATATGCCCAGGTTGTGGGCTCGATCCCCAGTGTGGGGCATGTAGGAGGCAGCCGATCAATGATTCTCTCTCATCATCATTGATGTTTCTATCTCTCCCTCTCCCTTGCTCTCTGAAATAAAAATATATATATTTTTTAAATGTTATGCTTCTCATTGGAAAGAAATAGTAATTTGGCCCTTTTAGTATTAACTTACATTAATGTAGCTTACAGTATATACATTTGATGCCTTAGGGAATCTATATATATAAAAAGCCAGCGACCAGAAAGCCGTAACAAACAGAAAGACCGGTTGCTATGACACTCACTGTGGCCAGCGAACCGGCCTGATCAAGAGGTGGGGCTGGCTGGCCAACCTCCCACGGCCCCTCCCCACAGCCGGCCCTGCCCCTGATCAGCCTCTTCCACCCTGATAGAGGGCAGAGCGGCCAGACAACCCCCCCATGGCCCTTCCCACCCCGCCTCCGATGGACCCCCACCACCCTGATCAGCCCACAGCCCTTCCCCCTGCTGGCCCCACCTGATTGCCCCCCTACCCCAATAGGGAGTGGGGCCAGCTGGCCAACCTCCTGCAGCCCCTTCCCCCAGCTGGCTCTACCCCAGATTGGCCCCCCCAACCCAATCAGGGGCAGGGCCAGCTGGCCAACTGCCTACAGCCCCTCCCCGTGGCAGGCCCTGCCCCCAATGCCCCCCAGACCCTGATCAGCCCACAGCCCCTCCCCCCACTCCAATCAGGGGCAGGGCCAGCAGCCAACCACCCATGTCCCCTCCCCCAGGCCGCTGGCCCTTGATCGACCCCCCCCCCCATTTGGGGGAAGGGCCAGCCAGTCCACCACCCACAGCCTCTCCCCATGGCTGGCCCCACCTCCAATCGGCCCCCCACCCTAATTGGGGGCAGGGCCCACTGGCCAATCGCCTATGGCCCCTCCCCCCAGCCAGCCCGACCCTGATCAGGCCCTGATTGGGGCCAGGCCAGCCAGACCTCCACTCGTGCATGAATTCATGCACTGGGCCTCTAGTATAAAAATAAGAGTCAATCTAATTCACAACAGTGGGCAAGGTGGATTAAATTACCTTAATCTTACAAAAATATGTAGATATTACAAGTTTTGTCAGCTAAACTAGCTAAGCTAAATGAGTAATATTAAACCCAAATAAATCACACCAGGGCTTTAATGTATATGGACTGACATTTTCTATTTGCTTATTTGGAGATACTTTATGAAAATGAAAGCATCCCACATCCATGTAATGTTTTTAATTGTTCTAGTTGATTTATATCTTCATTTAGTCCCAACACTAATCTCAAAAGGCACTGACTGCATCAATTTCCCATTACCACCTTGCCCACCAATTTACCCTTGCCTTGTAAGAAAGCTGTGGTTTCTCCAACATGCCAGGCACACTCCCGCTTGAGTGCCTGAACACTACTCATTCCTTCTGCCTGTGGCATTCTCTCTTGTGATCTTTATAGCTCACACTCACCTACATCAAGATTGTGCTTAAATGTTATCTAAGTAATCCCATAATCTGCCTCCTCTTTCTAACTCATCATCATCTAACACGACAATAAATGAATGTGTGTGCACATACACACATATGTATAAATAAAATATGCTACTAAAAAGTTACCTCCACAGAATCAAGGACTGTGCTTCATTACTTCTGAAAACCCACTACAAGTAATGCTGAAATATTTGGTGACTGAATACTCTAAAAAGGGTTGTCATTAGAAATATCTTAGACAGGAAAGAGAAGTCCCAAATTCACCCACTTTCGGTATTTTTTATATAGAACTACACAATGCCCGAACAACTCCCATATCCCTATCATCCCACCCTCACGATGAAGCTATCATCTTGTAGGTTGTGAGTAAAACTGGGGTCAAGAGTAGGAACTCTTACAAAGTAAAACATCAAGTTAAAAAATAAAAATGGGAGGTAGGGGGGAAATCTGTTGCTGGAATTTCAAGCACATTAGACCTGAGCTTGGCTATACAAAGAATATACCCTCAGGAGTTTTTAATCAGCTGGAACTATTCTTTGGCGGTTAGATCGAGTTATTATTCATTCACATTACCCAACATGAACAAATATAACTAAAGGTTTTCTAGGCAAAGTCTTTAATCAAATGTTAGCCAAATCTGCCCGGACAGCGCTTCAGTGACTCACCAAAACATCTGTCAGGTAGTCCACACTGTAGTTCTCACCATGCTTCCGTGCCTTGCCATTGATAGAGAGGGTGTAATTATAGTACTTAGAATTCTTCTCCTATTAAAGAGAGGAAAGTAAAATTTATTATGACATCAGCACACACAATGAAAGCTGGAAACCATACTAGGCTAACCTATACCATTTAAATGGTGATAAGAAATTTTAAAAGGGTAATTATACAAGTCGTACTGAATTAGATTTTTTGACTAGGGTTTTAATTAACTACTAGCATAGTTTCAATAATATGTCCTACTTTTTATTTATTTTTTGTTAAACCTCACCCAAGGATATGTTTTCCATTGAGTTTTTTAGAGTGGGAGGGAGGGAAAGAAGAGGTGGGGGGGGAAAGAGAGAGAAAAAAAGAAACATCAACGTGAGAGAGACAATGATTGGTTGCCTCCCACACACATTCCAACTGGAGCCAGGGAGGCAACCCAGGTATGTGCCCTTTACTGGGAACGGAACCTGCAACCCTTCAGTGTATGGGCCGATGCTCTAATCACTGAGCAACACTAGCCAGGCCTGTCCTACTTTAAAAAAAAAACAAGAGGGGATCAGGTAGAATAGCAAAATATGTTGCTAAACCCCCACAAAGAAATTACTTGCAAATCAAAAGACTTTCCTGCAGGGAGATGAAACAGCCAATCAGAAAAGCAAACCAAGTTATGTCAATATCAGAGCTAAATCAGAGTACACACATTTGACATCTGTGGGCTGTGTGTAATTGGCACTGACTTTGGTAGTCACTCACCAAGGCATACCAGTAGCTCCATCCCGGAGGAACGTACTCTAACCCACCAGCAGCTGGGGCTCCATACTGAAAAGTAGACAAGCAGGGCATTAGAAGTCCTCAGATATGATGAGACACAAAGAAACAGGACACGTGTAGAATCTTTTTAGATCAGTCCCTGAAACACAGTAGGTGCTCACTTTTCCCAAACACACAAACCAGCAAAAAATAAAGGACACCATATTCCTAGAAACTTTGGAAGCACGAGCTGGCAAACTACAGGCCAGATCTAGCCTGCTAACTGTTTTGTATGGCCAGCAAGCTAAGAATTTTTTTCCAAACATTAAAAAAATATAAAGACCAATCAAAAGAAGACTATGTTGTAACATGTGACAGCTACATGAAATTGAAATTTCAGTGGTGATAAAGTTCATTGGAACACAGCCACACTCGTCAGTTTACCTAACGTCTGTCTATAGCTGCTTTCATGCTATGATGACAGAGTTGAATACTTACAACAGAGACATACGGCTTGCAAAGTCTAAATTATTTACTTCTGGCCCTTTACAGAAGACGACCACATGGCTTAGGCCACAGGGCTCATTTGCTGAATAGTCCAACTGACCTTGTGACTAGCAACAGTGAAAATGACCCAACTATGAGCTACTAGCCAATAATTTCCATTGTCTTGATGAGTTCAGCAAGAGACCTAATGAGATGAGCAAGTGAAGAGACCACAGAATCATCCCATTTTACCTCAGCAAGGTTTAATATTGCCCATTTAGGGCAGAATTTAGCACCTCAGAACGAAATCTTTGTATTTTATATATATATATATATATATAAAACTTTTTTAAAATACTAGTATATATTTTTATTGATTTCAGAGAGGAGGGGAGAGGGAGAGAGAGATAGAAACATCAATGATGAGAGAGAATCATTGATCGGCTGACTCCTGCATGCCCCCTACTGGGGATTAAGCCCGCAACCCAGGCATGTGCTCTTGACTGGAAATGAACCTGGAACCCTTCAGTCTGTAGGCTGATGTTGTATCCACTGAGCCAAACCAGCTAGGGCTAAATCTTTGTATTTTAAAGAATTTCTCCTAATTTTGTATATATTAGATGCTCTTTAACATGCAAAGCAGTATAAGTTCTCTTTATGACCCATAGTCTTAACACAATGACCTAGTATCTGTACTTATTTCTCATTATTCTTTTCAAATTGAGTCATCTTCTTTCAACCCCACAAGATTGCAAATTCCCCTAATTGTTGTGGGGAGTGTGAAAAGTGAAAAAAATTTCAGATCAGATATTAAGATCTCTAGCAACCACAGATAAAATATTTAAGAAAATGTACATCTTCTCTCTGTCCTGCACTCCCAGTTTTACTATAGGAGATAACCCCAAATACCCTCAAACACACTCTTTCCTTTAAACCTGAATTCTGACTAAAAGCTAAGGCCAGTGAGGCCATGAAATCTGGCCTTGGCAGGTCACAATGCGATCTCTCTCCATCGAGGCCCAAATGGCTGTACACTGACCACTCAGTCACCTGTTTTAATGGCCTTGACTGTCCCAGGCTCTGGGTGCCTTCTCTTATCACTGATCTGCCCACATTCTGTTCCCACTTTTCAGGTTACAAAATGGGTTAAGCATAAGTTGCAATTCAGGAAAGATACTAAAGAAATATTCTTCATTCTGATCCTAATACAGAGGAAATGGAAACAAAGATCACATGCCAGCCACATGACAAGCAGAGTTCTTGAGTAAAAAGGGGAAGATGTACACAGCAGCAGTCCTAGGATAATTATTATTATTTTAATCCTCACCCTAGGATTTTTTTTTTAATTTTTTTTTTTTTAATCTCCACCCAAGGACATGCTTAGCGTGAGGGAGAGGGAAAAGGAGAGGAAAGAGAAAATCATCGATTGGTTACCTTCCCTATGTGGCTGGACCAGAGATTGAACATGCAACCCAGGTATGTGTTCTGACCAGAATGGAACCGACAACCTTTCACTGAACAGGAAAAGGCTCAACCAACTGAGCCACTCCAGTTGGCTAGGTTATGCTTTTATTAATTTTTTTTTTAATGGAACGCTTCACGAATTTGGGCGTCATCGTTGTGCAGAGGCCATGCTAACCTTTTCTGTATTGTTCCAATTTTAGTACATGTGTTGCTGAAGTGAGCACTGACTTTTTTTTAGAGAGAGAAAAGGAGGGAATGGGAGGAGAGAGGGGGAGGGATGGAGGGAAAGAAACAAATAAACATCAATCAACTGCCTCCTGTACAGGCCTGACCGGGATCAAACCTGCAACCTAAGTATGTGCCCTGACCAAGAACCAAATTCGCAATCTTTTTGGTGTACAGGATGATGCTCCAACCAACCGAGCCACCCGGCCGGGGCAGTCCTAGGATAATTTTTCAATAAATGCTCCTGAGACTATTTAGAAGAATAAATACAGTATCCAAATGATGTAAATATGTTTATATAAGTTCTTATTTATGGGCAGATTAGGAGAAAACATTTGCCAAAAATCCTTTAGCATGACTTGAATGGATACTTATTAAAAAACAAGTATCATGAATTCTATTAATTCACATTTAAAAAGCTGTTATAAAAAAAGGGGGAGGAATAATTAGACCAACATACCTCATTTAAGTATTTTCCTGCAAAAAAGGTCTGATAGCCACACATTGATCTGAGAATTGCTGGGAAAGTATTTGGTTCTTGGATCTTCTGCCAAGACTTACTACTGCAGTTTCCCTCTAAAGTGTTGTTAACAACGTGATGATTATGTGGGTACTTCCCTGTCAGGATACTGGCACGGCTTGGGCAGCAAAGAGCACTTGGCACATACTACAAAGGAAACAGAAGCAACAAGGACAGTTACACAAGAAAGATGAATTTCCCATAATTTCTAAAAAGAATAAAAGAAAGTTGCTCCAATATTTTAACTTCAAATTTCTAGTTTCCCCTGATACAAAAATATTCTTTGCATATAACACATTTCCAAGCTGCCATATGTAACGTAGTAGAGACAGTAAAGCAGATAAAACAAACCAAGGAACAGATTTCTTTTTTAGCTGGTTTCCTTCTGCAGGATAAAATAATGCTATTCTAACCTCACCTCAAATAAATATTTACATACAAGGAGCACAGCGTGGTGGGAGCTAGGTCTTAACCAAAGATAAAAACTACTACTTGAATTTAATGTGGCTGAGCAGTAGAGGGTCATGCTCAGGCTGATCTGTAGCTTTATGTATTTCCTGTATCATTTTATATATGACAGACAGATTTTTTTTTTTCTACTTATGTTTCTATTAGCTACTGTCATCAATAGACTTATCCCATTCTACCCAATAATATCTCTATAACTCTTAATGCACATTTAACAGAAGGGTAATACTAGCTTATACTTCCACCAGCAGAGAAGGAAGGCTTATTTGAGCACACCTTTGCCAAAATTACATTGTATCCTTTTTAAATACTTAGTATTTATTTGGCCTTTTATTGGATTTGACATTTTTAAATACTGATGAACATTCTCCACATGCACACTAACCAACTGTGTTTATGGGAATGGTCTGTTCATGTGATTTGCACATTTTTTCCTCCTGAGCTACTGGCCTCTTATTACATAAAATTGGAATTAAGGAAGGATTCAGTCATACTATAAATACTTCCTGTTTTTTACTTTTGCCTTTTAATTTTGTTAGATGTTTGACTTTTGTAATTTTTACATTGGCAACTCTTTTAATTCTTTCCCTTTTTTGTTTCCTAAGCTAATTTTTGGGAATACCACACTGTTTATTGTATCTTCATATTTCATTTTAGTACCCAGTAAAGCAATTTCTTCCTTTAAAAAAATTACCCTAATTGTTCTAACCTACTTATTATTCCAGATAACTTTGGATTCACTGAATTCAGCATAAAAAAAATCTTACTGGAATTCTGATTAGAATACTTTATAATCTTGTATTTTCCCATGGAAAGTAATGTGCATGTCTTCATATTAAGTAGTTTTTATTACATCACTTACAAAGTTCTGTAACTTTATTTATATAGGTCTTAAAGAACCATTACTAGCCACCACCAGTTTATTTCCAGAGTCTGAATTTTCCTACTTATGTGAATGTGATCTTTTCTCCCTCCCATATTTCTCTAACTGGTTATATGGAAGTTTTGTTTTGTTTTGTTTTTTCATTTCTACCTTACTAAGTTCTATTAAAAGTTTTCTAACAACTCTCTTGTTTTCTAGGTAGACAATCCAAACAAATGGAAATATTAATTTTCTCTTTTCCCAATAGTTTTACCTCTTAATTCTGTAAGACTTATGCCAACGACTAGACAGTTCAGAACAGTATTAAGCAAGAGGCATTAGCCCTTTGTCTCTCTAACAATAGTGACGAGAGTAGTTCACCTTAACTATAGGTGTGCCATTTGTCTGAAGTATTCTTCATAAGGATGTATTCTTCCAACAGTTGAATAAATTACCAGGAAAAGATGCTAAAATTTCAGAGAATTTTCAAGCATCTATTGGAATGCACATATAACTATCCTTCTTTTACTACCAATTCCATGTTGGTGGACAATATAACCACCACCATTGTGTAGTACAGCCAGCCCTCTGTATGTGTGGGTTCCAAATCCACAGATTCAACCAACCTCAGATTGAAAATGTTCAGGGGAAAAAAGTCACGTTGTTGCCGACGTGAACAGTATAACTAGGTCTATGATGTGGTTGCACTGTGCTGAACTTGTACAGACTTTTTATTGTCACTATTCCCGAAACAATACGGTATAACAACTGATTACATAGTATTTTCATCGCATTAGGTATTATCAGTAACCTAGAGATAATTTAAAGTCTACAGGAGTATGTGCCTAGGTTACATGCAAATACTGTGCTATTACATGTAAGGGACTTGAGCACACGCAGATTTGGTATCTGCCGGGGTGGGGGCGGTCCTGGAACCAATCCCTCACAGATACCAAGAGATGACTGAAATCATTATAAGTCAGGCAGGGATACAGGTGGTTGGTTGCTTTACATGTATCAATTCACTTAACCTTACATAAACCCTGAGGTAAGTTTCAGTACTCCCATTTATAAATATGGAAAACAAGGGCCAGAAAGCTTAATAACTTGCCTAAGGTCACATAGCTGGAAAAGAGGCAGAGAGCGTGTGAAACCAGGCGGGCCGGCTCCAGAGTCGGCGCTCTAAAGCACAACACAAGGCTGCTGTTCAATGGATCTCCTGATGTTAATAGGTTACCGCTTACTTGTGTATGTGCATGGTCCTCAAGTTTGCTAGCATTTGAGTCTTTGTATCTATGTTTATATATACATATATTTGTTTTATATATTCACACATACACACAACTGTTGTTGGCTTTGTTGCTACTGTCTTTGTCAGGTTTGGCTTCCATGGTTAACTGGGTTTTGTAAAGTGGTCTGCAAGTTTTTAGCATGGAACAGTTTACATAGCATTAATGTTATTTGATGCTTACAATCCACATTCAAACCTCAAACAGTCAGGTTTGAAGTAAAATTCTCTAGTTCTGAGTTGTAGAAAAGACTGGCTTAGAAATTGCCTGCAGTTAATCTCCAATTGGTAAGAAGTAATATTTCAATTAACAGAATTTATCACATTAAATAAGATCCCTCCTTCAGATCAGGCTTTTTAACTAGGGAAGAAAAAACAAAACAGACTACCCAAAAGTGAGTGTTCCTTCTTAGAACATAAACACAATTAAAGTTTAACAAAATTAAACTGGCTTTAAAACTTACAGCGCTGGAGAAAGTCATCCCCATCTCTCCGATGAGAGCCTTGGTTTTCTTTAGTGGTGTCTGTAAAGCAAATAATTATCTGTTAAACTATTTCTCTCAATCAACTACAATACACAGACCAAAATTCATGGGTTTTGTATCTTATTCCCAACCTATCAGCTCCGTCTGACACTAAGAAAGAGCCAAGAGAGTGATTCTGGAGATAAAGCAAACAGGTTTGGTTAGTCAGTTCTTTCCTATGCAAAAGTTCAGGGGTTCATAATGCTTGAAGGAGGGGAAAGTCCACAGCTGATGGTATTTTTCTAGCAGTGTTGATTTCACTGTAATGAAATTTTGTGCCCTTATCTCATTTGTCACCAGCCTCCTTAAGAGATAGGGCAGAACTATCTCTATTCATCTTTAGAAGCAGGATGTGGGAAATCATATAAAAGGAGCCTTCCACCTTTTAAAACAGTTATAACACTTAGGTTCTGAAAGCCAGCAAGACAGGCTCAGAGATTAAGTAAAATATTATTCAGTGGTGGAGCCCAGATGTACACTTTTTGACTACAAACTCACAGCCCTCTGCTCTGCACTAGACATATCACCACCTCAGGTAAGAACTTGAACCAGGTGGCCAACAGGTATACACAGAACCCTCTCAGGCAAAAGACTAATCAGAAATTTCTTTGTTTATATCCTTGCCTTTTTTTTTTTTTAAATATACTTTATTGATTTTTTACAGAGAGAAAGGAAGAGAGATAGAAAGTCAGAAACATCGATGAGGGAGAAACATCAATCAGCTGCCTCCTGCACATCTCCCACTGGGGATGTGCCCGCAACCCAGGTACATGCCCTTGACTGGAATCGAACCTGGGACCTTTCAGTCCGCAGGCCGACGCTCTATCCACTGAGCCAAACCGGTTTTGGCTATATATCCTTGCTTTTTATCATTTGTTCAAAATCCAAGATCCTGACAAGTATAGAAAATAATTAATATCAAATCCTATAGTGAGGATAAAAGTCTAAAGATGGTCAACTAATACAAATAAAAAGGACCATAAATATGAATAATCTTTATTCAGTTGCCACATGGCAAGAAAGAACCATTGAAGAGACTCATTTTAGTTGTATTATGAGAGACAATTCATGATGATTCTCAAGTACCTTTGAAATCTAGGACCATATTAAATGCAGCTCTAAGTGTATTTTGTTGTATAATAGTTTCTTAAAGACAATCCAAATACAGTGCGGCCTTGACTTACGAGTGTCCCGACTAATGAGTTTTTCGAGATACGAGCTGTCTCTCGGCCGATTTTTTGCTTTGAGTTGCGAGCTAAAATTCGGGTTATGAGCCAGCTTCAGATACCCCACCGCTAGCTGGCGCAGCAAATGTCACAGTGAACGCCACAACATCAGCCTAGCATCACGTGTCTAACTCGTTCACTTTTTGATTTGACATACGAGTAATTTGAGTTACGAGCTCCGTCACGGAAAGAATTAAACTCGTAAGTCAAGGCCCCACTGTATATAACTGTGTTAACAAAAGCCTCATTTTCAATACTGTATAAATTACTTTCCCCCATTGTTTTACATAGATAATAGAAAAAAATTAAGGAACCCAAAAGCTCAAAAGGATGAGAATTCTAACATATTCAAGAACTAACTTTGAGCCTGGTCAGTGTGGCTCAGCAGTTGAGCACTGACGCAGGAACCAAGAGATCACTGGTTTGATTCCCGGTCAGGGCACATCCCCAGGTTGCGGGCTCAATCCCCAGTGTGGGGCATGTAGGAGTTAGCTGATTGATGATGTTCCTGTCTCATCAATGTTTCTAGCCCTCTATCCTTCCTTCCTCTCTATTTAAACAAACAAACAAATAAAACAACAACAACAAAAAAAAACAACAACTTTGATCACTTCATAAGTAACTGCATAGCAGTGGTTCTCAACCTTCTGGCCCTTTAAATACAGTTCCTCTTATTGTGACCCAACCATAAAATATTTTCGTTGCTACTTCATAACTGTAATGTTGCTACTGTTATGAATCGTAATGTAAATATCTGATATGCAGGATGGTCTTAGGCGACCCCTGTGAGGGGTTGTTCGACCGCAAAAGGGTTGTTCGACCGCAAAAGGGTCGCGACCCACAGGTTGAGAACTGCTGGCATAATGGGTGCCCAGGAAATGCTAGAGACATAGATAAGATCTTTGGTAACCTTCAGAAACAATGTCACCAGTCATAATCTCCCATAAAGCATCCCTGGGTGCTACACTCAGGTACAGAACATTGGGCTGCATAAAACGTTAGTCAGTGGTCGGCAAACTGTGGCTCGTGAGCCACATACGGCTCTTCGGCCCCTTGAGCGTGGCTCTTCCTAAGCCTTAGGAGTACCCTAATTAAGTTAATAACAATGTACCTACCTATATAGTTTAAGTTTAAAAAATTTGGCTCTCAAAAGAAATTTCAATCGTTGTACTGTTGATATTTGGCTCTGTTGACTAATGAGTTTGCTGACCACTGCGTTAGATGGATGAAGAATCTGAGTTACAGTGAGGATGTAGGGAGGGGAAATGAGTGAAGGGTAAGTGAAGAAAAGGTCTATGTGAGTTGATTATATCTGACTTAGTTATCAGACTGTCTGATAAATATGCAAAGTTACTGAGGAATATCTGATTTACAGTAATACTATACTGTGTGATTATATAACATTTATTAAACACTTAACTTTGTGCCAGGCACTGGTCTTGGCAGTAGAAGTGGATGAAGACAGAAGGTCCCCACCCTGACGATCCTTGCACTCTTGGGGACTTAAACAACTAACAGGTAAACAAGCAATCATTCTGGGCGGTGAAAAATGCTATGAACAGAATAAACCAGGATAATGTGCTTACAGCTGGTGGCAGGAAAAGTGGAAAACACTTTAGGTGGTAGGTCAGGGACGGCCTCTTTGAGGAGGTAACCAGTGCTGAGAGTCACATGATGATGAGTCAGCCGCACAAACGTCCAGGATAAGACGCTTCCAGGCTGAGTGAATAGCAAGTACAAAGGCTGCCAGAGAAGGAAAGAGGCACGTGTGAGGGACAAAAAGCAGTGCACGTGTGGCAGAAGCAGTGCAGTCAGTAAAGGGGGAGTGGGATAAGACAGGCTCAGAGAGTTAGGCAGAAGCCAAAGAACTGATGGAAGGCTGCACAAGGATCTAGAGTTTAATGTAAGAGATTTATATTAATAACCATAGTCTTTAGACTATTCATAGTACAAATGATAAGCATAAAATCTGTGTTTAATCAAACAAGTCCCAGGCAAGAAACCACACTGTACTGAAAATGTGTATGTGTGTCTGAATGTTAACATGGATCCTTAAGATCTAAGCAAAGATAGTGACGGTGAGGCTAAGGCCATACGACATTCTTTATGAAGCAGCCAATCTTATACTCGCATATGGGTAAATGTGTCACTTTCCTACATCCGAAGCAAAATCCCTTCCATAAAAATCCCAAGGAGTCATATACTTTCCTAGCTCCCATGTACACCTGTTCCAAAATAAAGTTTGGTAATTCTATAGCTAACTTTCCCTTTTTCAATAGAAAACCACCTGCTTTAAGCAAAGCAAAGACATCATGTATGCATTTATTCTTCCCCTACATTTCATTACAGCTCCTTCCCTCACTTCCTTGAAATTTTAACCGAATGTCACTTTTTCTAGAGTGAATGATTTTTTTTAAAAAGCATCCTGTGCTTCTGTGAAAAACAGTATGTCCATCGCACCATAATTACATTTAAATAAAATCAAGAAATTAAACCCTGGCCAGTGTAGCTCAGTTAGTTGGGAGTGTCAACCTGTACACTGACAGGTGGTGGGTTCAATTCCCAGTCAGGGCACATACCCAGGTTGGGTATTTAATCCCCAGTCAAGGTGTGTACTGGAAGGCAACTAATTGATGTTCCTCTCTCCCATTGATGTTTCTCTCTCTCTTTCTTCCCCTCGCTCTAAAATCAGTAAGTATGTCCTCAGGTGAGGATTGAAAACAAAACATTCAAGAAATCTACAGGAATAGTTGCATGGGTAAAAAAATCTAAAAAACGGAATCCCAGATACCTGCAACAAATACAATGAAATGTTAAAGAGGACACTACCACATAAAAGACTATTTCAAAGATGACAGGTTTCACATTAAACTACAATCACACAAGTGTTACAATCCTTTCATCTGAATTAGTCTGGGAGATTGACCACTGTTTGTTTATTTTGCCAACTATGGTGGCAATTCATAATCCTTTTTTGGGGGAGGGGGACAAAAAATGAAGATAATATACACAAAGTATTTATTACTTGTAAATTAAGGAGTTCCATGACCCCACTGGTGCTCCTGAATGTCACCTGAAGAATCTCTGACCTGTGGTATAAGTAACCATGCTGATGTGGGTATGTGGAATGACATCTGTAAGACAGTATTATCAAAGTATTTTCAAACAGGAGAAAAAGCTTTGAGATCTTAAGACACCAGGCTTTGTCCCTCACTAGCTATATGAACCTTGGCCAAGTTATAGCCCCCTCTAAATTTCAGTTTCCTCTTAGTTAAGATAAGGACAATACCTACAGCAGAGGACTCCTGTAATGACTGAAGCACAAATATAAAACACCTCACTCTCTGGCTCCAAGTAGAATCTCAAACGCTATATTGTCTTAGCTCTTCCCCTTCAAGTGCTGTTTGACAACTAGTCATAAAATATTCTGTAAAAGCCTACAAGAGAAGCAAGAATTTTCCAGAGTTAGAGCACTGAATTCAACTTGTTCCCTCCACACAATTTTGGCTCTTCTCTCCAGTACAAACATCTATAAAAAAGAAACTGCTGTGGTTTAAAGAAGCAAATGTGATTAACATGCTAAGGCAGTGGTTCTCAACCTGTGGGTCGAGACCCCTTTGGGGGTCGAATGACCCTTTCACAAGGGTCGCCTAAGACCATCGGAAAACACATATATAATTACATATTGTTTTTGTGATTAATCACTATGCTTTAATTATGTTCAATTTGTAACAATGAAATTGGGGGTCACCACAACATGAGGAACTGTATTAAAGGGCTGCGGCATTAGGAAGGTTGAGAACCACTGTGCTAAGGAGAAGAGACCACATCTGTGGCCTACAAAAATGGAAGAAAATGGATTCTGAACACCACACCTTGTATTTAAGTGATGAAGTTTGTTTTCAACAGAGATGTGAAAGCTGTACCTTCTTTTAAACACACATTTTTCTTTCTTTTTAAAAAAAAATATTTATTGTTTCAGAGAGGAAGGTAGAGGGAGAGAGAGAGAGAGAAACATCAATGATGAGAGAGAATCATCGATTGGCTGCCTCCTGCACAACCTCCCACTGGGGATCGCACCCACAACCTGGCATGTGCCCTGCTGCAGAATCGAACCTGGGACCCTTCAGTCCGCAGGCCGATGCTCTATCCACTGAGCCAAACCTGCTAGGGCGAAAGCTTTACCTTTCAATTAAGCTTCAGTCACTAAACTATTATTAATTTTTGATAGAGGTGGCTTGCTTTTCCTGGATAAAATACTTTTAAAGGACATGAGATATTTAAAAGAAAATAAGTGTAGCTGTTAGAATGGTGGGAAAAAACCAACAAAATAAAACCCAGAAGGGCAATTAAGTCAAGACTCTTCAATGTCAATGTGACTGAATAGAAATTAAAAGGCATTGAGGCGTATGTGGCAGGAGTGTGGAGTCAAAATGCAAGCATCTTAAACGTCAGCTAGAAAAGAATCCCATACTCTTGCACACAGCCCCAAGTGAAGAAACATTCTAATTCACAGCCCAGAGATATATACACATATGGATATATGCTTAACCTTTACCGCGTGTACCACACAGACATTTTCTATTCCCGGAGTCTGTTCCGTAGGGAAGTGAAAATGCTGGAAGTTACTAAACTGATTTCACAACTCACTCATGGACAGGATGAAAGACACTGAACTAGGCTGTTACTACACAGTCACAGTTCGGAACCTCTTGCCTGAAGTGTTTTCATAATCTCAGCATTTCGCTCAAAGCAAAAAGAGAACTGAAAGAAAGGAAGCAAAAAAAGCACTTGCTCTTAAAAAGAGGAATACCATACCCAGAATCAGAGCACTCGTCAGGATTCTGACTCGACTGCCTCCACTATTTATGTGCCTGGGGCAAGCCACTTTCTGTGCTGTCGTGAGTTAGAGAGTACGGGGTTGGGTGGCTATTCCTGAGGGTCATAAAGGTCAAGACTCTTAAGACACAGAAGCAACGTCAACTCTGGGAAAGAATGAAGTCTCATGACAACACCCAGATGGTACAAAATGGCACACTGGCAGGACCTAAGGCATCGGCCAGGTGTTCAATTAGGCTAATTGGATTTTCTTGATTCTTGTGTGGCAAAGCACACCTTGAATGAATAGTTCGAAAGCTACCTACCAGATTAGTTCATTTCAGCACTTATTTTATAAATATCAGGCACAGACATTGTGCCCGGGAACAAAGGCGGAGGTGGCCTAGGTCCTCACACTGGGGGGGGGCTGTCCTTGTCTCCTAACCCAGAAGATGCTCAAGGCTGGCATCTCCTTAGCCAACACCTGCTCCTCGTTGGCTCTGCCCATCCCTGACCGGCGTCCACCTGTGTGTCCCGAGATCGCGAAGGAACGCCATCTCCGCAGCCGTCAGGTCCGGACTAGAAGCTCCTTGGAGCGCGCGTGTGTGTGCGTGTGCGTGTGTCACCCTCCAAGAGACGCTGGAGCAAGAAGAGGAAATAGAGTCCTGCGGCCCCTCAGACCTGCGTCCAGGGCCCGGCGTGGCCAAAGCAAACCTACCCGGGGTCCAGTCGGCCGGTTCCGGGAGCCGGGGTGGGGATGGGAAACAGGGCAAGAAACCGGGGGTCCGCCGAGAGAGGGAGAGGGGCGGGGCAGAAACAGGAGTTACCATGCCGCCGAGCACTTCGTCCTGGTCGTCGGTGAGCAGCAGCACCACGTTGGGCCTCCGAGAGCCCGCCGCCGCCCGGGAGCCCCCCAGGCAGCAGCCCGGCAGCAGGAGCAGGAACAGCAGCGCTGGGCTGCAGGAGCGCAGGTGGCGGGGGCTGTGCCGCCCGGGCCCACCTGCGCCCAGAGGCAGGAGCCGCATGGCGGACAGGGCTCCGGGGGGACCCCGGGACGGGGTGTGGGGACGCGCAGACGGCTGAAGGACGAGAGGCCGAGGAGCCGCGGGGAGAGCCGGCGAACGGTGAAAGCCGGGGGCTGGGGTCAGGCGTTCTCTCCCCGGGCGCGGTCACGTGAACGGGGACGGGGGTGGAGCGCGCCGCGCGGTCACGTGGGGCGGAGGGGCGGGGCCGCGGACGGACGGTAGGGCGGGGCCGCGGAGGGAACCCGGAAGTGGGCCGAGACTGGGGAGAACCTCGGAGGGCGGGACCGCGCTGGCCTCGGCTTGGGCTCCTTTCGGGTTTCGGTAGGACCTGTTTCTGAGCACTTGGTGCAAAAACTATAAAACGGAGCGAGGATAAGATGAAAAGGAGGAGGAGAGAAAGGAGGACTGTCCCTGGTAAGATCAGCTGGTGGGCAGAGTCTGGGTTTTACCATGTTTAATCCCCAAGACAGAAAACACTAATTGAGGACGCTTATATTTAATCGGTTTTGATTTTCTTTGCAACTCAGCTCTTCGATTGGGAGCTGGATTCCAAGTCAGCTCTCCCCTCTCTCTTATTTTAATTCTCAACGCGAGGATATTTTTCCAGTGATTTTAGAGAGTGTGGAAGAGATTGGGAAAGATAGAAAGAAAAATCGATGTGAGAGAAACACATAGGTTGGTTGCCACCTGCACGTGGGGGAGAGCCTGTAACGGAGGTGCATGCCCTTGACCAGAATGGACTCTGAGACCCTTCCCTCCCTAGGCCAAGGCTCTATCCCCTGAGCCAAAGCGGCTAGGGATCCAAGTCAGCTCTCTTAATTCCAAGCCTGGTTATATGTTACTCCTCCGCTGTTAATGTGGTTTCAAACCAACCAACAATTTAGTGTATCCTGGCAGTCTAATGTTCCTTGATGAGTTTTCAAATATTTACCCTAATATTTCTTGGTGAATTTTCTGTTTAATTTTCGCCCGTGGATATGTTGATTGATTGTAGAGAGAGGGTGGGAGAGAGAGAGAGAAGCATCCATGTGAGAGAGAAACATAAATCCATTGCCTCTTGTTAGTGCCCAGGTCCTACAACCTAGGCATGTGCCCTGACCAGGAATGAAGCCAGGACCTCTCCCCGACCTTATGCGGGATGATGTTCCAATCAACAGAGCCACACTGGCCAGGGCATCTTGGTGAATGTTTGAAAGCCCTCTTAGAAGATGTTGGAGGATGTGCACATTGAATAAAAACAAAATCTGTGAAACATGACCATCCAACCACATTAAGTAATCTGTAAAAAGTTCCATAAAACCAGAGCTCCAAAAATGTCTGTGGTGGCTCTAGACCCGCTCTACCATGCCCCTCTCCTGAAATATAGGAAAAAACAGAAACTTTCCTGGCAAGGTGAGTGGCCAAGCCTTATTCCCAACTCAGAACAATAGGCTGTACCTCCTGGCTCCTAACAAAGTGCATACAACTATTCTCTAAGCTGGATCATCCAACACAAAAAGTCTTTTAAACCTTGTGAAAGCACTGTACCATAAGGTAAAAATAATTGTGAAAGTACTTCAAAATGTCATATATACAACTACAGGTGTTAGGCAAAAGAAGTATTGTGCCAGTTTTCTGTTAGGTAGGAGGGAAGACCAGGAGCCATGCATGCACAAGACAGATGGTGACACATATGCTGGCCCCTTCCTGGAACCTGTGACAGACCTGCCCGCGGCCGGAACTCCCACAGCTCATGCCCCCCCCACCCCTCACTGAACAGCTGTATAAAAAAAGTGCCTCCGCTCCCTGTTATCGAGACTTCACTGGCCCCGCCTTTGGGACCCGTGGATCTCGCCCAGGGACGCAGATTAAAGCTTCTCCTTTCCTCCTTTCTGACTTGCTTGGCTCTCTGACTTTGTCTCCTGCGCCGTGAACCTTACATTTTCTACTGGTGGCACCTTCTGAATCGGCACCAAAAAGAGGATCCCATGTAGAACAAAGTTGAGTTGAGGGCACGGAGATTAAGTTTAGGGTGGCTGAGGCAGCTGGAAGTGGGGCGGCAAAGTTAGAAAGAGGAAGAAGCTTTGTAGATGAAAAGCTCCATAAATCTGCATAGATATCCTTTTGAGACTTCGTTGAACACTAAGGTATGTTTTTTTGGATAAAGGCACCAGAAGGTAAGACCATGAATAACTAAGGAGATGTAATAATTCTTAAAGGAGGTGGAGATGTTTGAGAACCAGCCAGAAGGGAAAGTCTTCCTCAATCACAAGGGGCATTCAGTTGAGAACCCAGAAAGGTTATACCTTAGTAGTCGAGCTAAACTATCACAAATGAAAAGTACTGTACACCTATGATAACAAAAGTTAAATACAAGTCTCAAAAATATCAAGCTGACCTGCAAGAAACATAACTTACCTGTCAAAACAAGGTCTCCACTCTTTAAGGGAAGACGAGAAAATCTAAATACTCAACAACATAAAATTGACAATAGAAGTTCCTGCATCCAATAGAAAAATACGCAGGCCACCACACAGGAAAATACGACCAGTAACCAGGAGAAAAATCAGTAATAAATGACAGAGATGTGGGAATTAAATCAAGGTGATAAAACACCTACTATAACCATGTGTCATAATATAGTTTAAGCCAGCGGTCACCAACCCGTGGTCCGTGAGGTCCAAAAGGTGGGGGACCGTTGGCTTAAGCAGATCTAGACTGCCTGGGCATCCTGCAGAACATCCTATCCATCCATCACATTGATGACATCATGCTGATTGGGAAGGATGAACATGCTGGAATCTTTCTTATGACACATGTGCTCCGGAGCGTGGGAGATAGACCTTATGAAAATTCAGGAACTTGGCACTTCAGTACAGGATTTTAGGGGCCCAGGGATGTGCCAGGACATTGCCTCCAGAGTAAAAACAAACTGGTACATGTTGCATCCCTTAATACAGAGAAGAAGCAGTGTTTGGTAGACTTCTTTTGTCTTTTGTATGCAACCCATTCTACCTAGGAATTCTGCCCCGGCCCATAATAGACTAGTTCCCCCTTTTCTGCAGTTTTACTTTCTGCCGTTTCAGTTACCCACTGTCAACCATGGTCAGGAAATATTAAATGGAGAATTCCAGAAATAGACAATTCGTAAGTTTTAAATTGTGCGCCATTCTGAGTAGCTTGATGAAATCTTGCACCAGTTCCTCTCTCCCCCACACGGGTGGGCATCCCTTTGTCCAGCATAACCACCAGTTAGTCACTTAGTAGCCATCTAGGTCAGCCGTGGGCAAACTACGGCCCGCGGGCCGGATCCGGCCCGTTTGAAATGAATAAAACTAAAAAAAAAAAAGACCGTACCCTTTTATGTAATGATGTTTACTTTGAATTTATATTAGTTCACACAAACACTCCATCCATGCTTTTGTTCAGGCCCTCCGGTCCAGTTTAAGAACCCATTGTGGCCCTCGAGTCAAAAAGTTTGCCCACCCCTGGTCTAGGTCCATTGTCGGCAAACTGCGGCTCACGAGCCACATGCAGCTCTTTGGCCCCTTGAGTGTGGCTCTTCCTAAGCCTTAGGAATACCCTAATTAAGTTAGTAACAATGTACCTACCTATATAGTTTTAAAAATTTGGCTCTCAAAAGAAATTTCAATCGTTGTACTGCTGATATTTGGCTCTGTTGACTAATGAGTTTGCTGACCACTGGTCTAGGTGATCAGATCTACTGTTTAGTTTCGCAGTGCTTGTGTTCAAATAACCCTTATTTTACTTAATAATGACTCTAAAGCACAAGAGTAGTGATGCTGGCAATTTGGACATGCCAAAGAGAAGCCGTAAAGTGCTTCCTTTAAGTGAAAAGATATGTATCTATAAGAAAAAAAACATAGTATACATAGGGCTCAGTATTATCCTCAGTGTCAGACATCCACTGGGGGTCTTGGAACATGTCCCCCACCCCCTCATAAGGGGGGACTATTGTACAGAGTGTCAGCTTTGAGTGGTGCCTGGAGGTGAAAAGTGCTCAGTAGCAGGCAGGGCTGCCTCCATAATCTGCAGGGCCTTTGTGAAGATCTTTGTATGACATATTTATACTCAGCAGAAATCACTCACCCTGGAAGTGGCACTAAACAACAAATTAGACAAAATAGCTTAGTCATTTGTTAGCCAGCCTTTGTCAGTGGCTACCTAAGTGCTGGCATAAAGGCACCTCACTTACTCTCAAAAAATGTCACTGAGTACAGGTGAGAGATCAGAATTTTGGTTCCCAGCTGGTATACATTGAGTAATCACAACTTAATTTTTTTTCCATTTATTGATTTTATAGAGAGAGAGAGAGAAAGGGAAAAAGAAACATTGATTTGTTTTTGCACTTATTTATGTACTCATTGGTTGCTTGTATGTTCCCTGACCAGAGTTCAAACCGGCAACCTTGGTGTATCAGGACGATGCTCTAACCTGTTCAGCCACCAGGCCAGGGTCAAGCAATCACAATATTTTATTATTGCAAAGGAAAGATTGTTCTGTTATTTTGAAATCTAGTGTGATACTTAAATATTAATTAAGCATCAGTCAGATTAGGTCTCCAAAGTTCCTCTAAGCACTCAAATGTTATGACTTAAATCTCATTCAACATTAATAGTTCTTACTTATTGACCATCTATTATGTATTACTATGCATTTCCTAAGGTCTGTCTAAAGCTTGATAGCTTTTACAAATACTAAAATCTGTTTTTACTTCCTGTTCCAACTTTTTGAATGGAAAAAATAGGAGTTTTGTTCATGTATAGTTATTAAACTGAAAATAGGTTTCATTGTATTCCAAGCATGTAAAAAATTATAATCAGCAGACTTAAAGAGCAAAAGTGAGCTTCCATGTGGAGAAGCTGAAACACAGCAATGACCTTTTGCATTTCTCATGTGACTCCGGAATGAGTAATCCCTAAAGGATGAAAGTAAAAGGTTAACTGCCAGATTTTACAAATCAGCCATTCCAAGAATAATCAAAGCTTTCATTATAGCAATTTAGTCTTTGTGTGTGTCTGCACATGCTGAAAAAAAATTATCAAGTTATCAAAAATGTTGAATCTTGTTAAGGTAGTTTCAAATAATAGGTGTTAGAAGGTTATTGACAAGACCCTGATACAGGCTTGGAAATCATTTAAATGTTCAC